GATCATTTGATCGTTGCGGTTATAAAACCATTTTTACTTTATTTGTTTGGTCATTTGACCATTACGGTTATAAAACCGTTTTTATTTCACTTGTTCGGTCATTCAATTGTTGCAGTTTCTTAATCGTTTTATCTCATTCGTTCGATCAATCCGATCGTTGCGATTTTCTAACCATTTTATCTCATTCGTTCGGTTAATCTGATTGTTGCGGTTTCTTAACCATTTTATCTAATTCGTTCAGTTAATCCGATCGTTGCGGTTTCTTAACCGTTTATCTCATTCGTTCGGTCAATCCGATCGTTGCGTCTTTTTAGCCATTTTATCTCATTCGTTCGGTTAATCTGATTGTTGCGGTTTCTTAACCATTTTATCTAATTCGTTCAGTTAATCCAATCGTTGTGGTTTTTAACCGTTTTATTTTATTCTTCAGTTAATCCAATCGTTGTGGTTTCTTAACCGTTTTATCTCATTTATTCGATTAATATGATTGTTGCGGTTTCTTAGCTGTTTTATCTCATTTGTTCGGTTAATCTGATCGTTACAGTTTCTTAATCATTTTATCTCATTTGTTCGATTAATATAATCGGTGTGGTTTCTTAACCATTTTTTTTCATTCATTTGGTTAATTTGATCGTTGTGATTTCTTAACCATTTTATCTCATTCCTTTGATAAATTTGATCGTTGCAGTTTCTTAACTGCTTTTACTTTACTTTGTCAGTCATTCGACCCGTTTTACTTTACTTGTTTAGTTGCAAAAAAACAAAAACAAAAACAAAAACAAAAAAAGAAAAAAGAAAACAAAAAACAAACAAAAAAAAACAAAAGAAAAAAAAAAGAGTTAAAAAATTTGAGTTATTCTTGTTTTTTCTTTTCATTCTGAACAGAAAGAAAAGAAAAAATGGGCAATTGTCATAATTTAAATTTTTATCCATTATCCAAAAAAAAATCAAAAATATAAAAATATGAATTTTCCCCTTTTATTTAACTAAGCTATCTATATTTTTATTTTTGTTTCAGGGACTACAT